CAGAATATTCTGACGCACTATATTTGCACGATCTCGCGTGCACATGCATGCAAAGCATGCAGGCCGAGGGGCAGACCCATTAAAAAACATTTGCGCACAAACGCGCGCGCGCGAACGGACGGGCGCATGGGGGCGCGCGGCACACGCACATGTACACACAAACGCACGCACGAACGCACGCACGCACACACACAAACACACGCACACACAGCCACGCACCCACACAGCCACGCACCCACACGCACACGCACACACACACGCACGCCCGCCCGCACGCCCGCGCGCACGCACGCGCGCATGCACGCACGCACGGCGAGCAGATCCCCGCTGCACAGGAGAAGGGGAGGACGAGCCCGAATCTCTCCTGGAGCGCGCGCAGACCAGAATGTCGTAGCGGATCCAACGACAGGCGAGCGTTTCGCCACCATGATGGAAGCGCGCCAAACGGGGGCGTCGGGGGATCGCCCCGCGCCGCCGATGCATCGGCGATGCGTTAAAGTGCCCGCAGGCCGCCTCCGCGGGGGGCCCCCGTTGGCCTGCGGCGATGCCCGCTGCCCCCCCCCCGCCCCCCCTTGCTAGCAGCAGCCATTTTGGCTTGGGCCTTGATGTCAGGTGTCTCGTGGGGGCGCGTTCCAAGCAGACCATGGCGCGCGCCCCTTGGCGACAGAATCCGCAGATCGAGCGGCGCCATGGCCCCTCCCCAGCGCCCCCCCGCGCGAGATGAGGAGATGGCGCAGTTGGGGCGGCGCGGCGCTGAGCTGGCGGACGCGATCCGATTGATGCAGGAAGAGATGGGGCCCTTGGCACTTCGATTGCTTGCCGCCGCGGTCGAGAGCTTGGCGTCGCCAGTGAGAGCGGCGACAGCGCCGGCCTCCTCCGCGCCGATCGGGGGCGCGCTGGCCGCCAGCGTGCGCGGGCAGACCGCCCCCGAGGAGCCCCTGGCGCAGCCGCCCGCTTTCCGAGGCGACGCTGGGCAATGGGCGGCGCGCAAAGGTAAATGAGTCGCGCGACGACCGGCTGCGCGCGCAATGGCGCACATGGTCGTTGCGCGCGGAGGCCGTCGTCACGCGACTCATTGTTCAACTTTACATGCGGCGCGCATCGCCCGCGGGCAGCGCCGCTCCCGACCCGGGCGGCCGTCGCCGCGAACGCGGTGGTGGAGGTCTCCGACTCGCCCGAGGCAGGCTCCAACCAGTATGACAGCTGGGATGGGGCCGAGGCGGGCGCGCTCGCGGAGTCGGCGCAGACGTGCGAGGGGCTCCAGGCGAAGGAGCAGGAGGAGAAGGATGCCGTGACGAAGTTGATGCATAGGTTCCTTGATGCGGCGGGGCGCTTGGGGGTCGAGGTCGACGATGTCCTGTCAGATCCGACCTCGAGGCGCTCCGACGGCGGGGGCGGGGGGCGCAGTGGCGCCTCGATCGGCGGCGGCTCGGCGACTGGTGGCGCCGCGGCTGTGCAGGTTGAAGGGTGTGTAACCCAGCATTCAATTTGATCATTCTCCTCCTCGGATGACTTTTCATCCGCATGATCCTCCTCGCCCTTTCACCTCGTCGCCCGTCTTCGTCGTCGTCGACGTTGCCGTCGTGCCTTGCTGAGCCTGCCCTTCTCGTCAATATCGTCGTGCTTCCGACCCGCGTCACCTGCCAGTTCGCATCGATATCTTCTAGCGTTCTCGCCCTCGCCCTCTCGCCTCGTCATCCCTCGTCGTCGCAGTCGACGTCGCCGTCGGCGTTGGCAGCCGCGCCAATATCGTCAACGATGGCGCCGCTGACGGATCCGAGGTAATAGGGGGGGGGGCGTATATAGGGGGGCGCATTTCGCCGCTGGCTACCCCCGGGTGGCCGCGGACAAGGCGGTCGACGCGGAGGTGGCCGACGAGCTCGCGCGCGCGGATGGTCGGATCTGGCCCCCATGGAGACGCAATTCCCGTGCGGCTCCGTATTCCTCCTATATTGCATTTAGAAGTTTACACTCGGTGGTGTACATATAACCGGTGGTGTGCATATAACAATGTATACGCAGCTATGTAGCAGAGCAAGTATTTATGCCCGCCTGCAGTAAGTGCATCCCATCGCGGGTTCCACATGCGGTAGGAGTTGCGATAGAATTCGCTGCAGGCACATTTCCCTGGGCAGCCCCGCACCCTCCCGAGCCGCCACCCCGTGCGCGCGCGCGCGCCCACGCGCACGTGCGCGCATGCACGCGCACATATATATATATATATATATATATATATACATATATATACACATATATACACATGTACGCGTGTATGTATGCATATGTGTGCATGCATGCATGTATCTACGTATGTATGTATGTAGGCATGTGAGTGCATGCCTGTATGAACACGCGCTCGGCCACGTCGCATCAGCCCACTCCCCTCGAATCGCCAGTTCGCCCCCGAGCGCCAGGCTGCGCAGCTGGGCGCGCCGCCCAAGAAGAAGAATGAGGAGGCAGCGGTGAGCGCGCTGGACATGTTTGAGAAGGCCATCGAGGAGCTTCGCCCCGCGCCCGCGGGGAGAGCTCGCGCGCGGGTGGATGAGACAGGCGATTGGGGCTCT